ACTGAAATTGATTAGATTTTTTAAATCAACTGTTGGTAAATCAACAAAGTCTGTTATGGCCTCTGAAGCAACAGAGAGATGTTTTCTAATAGTCAGGGTTTCCAATGTTCTGAATGTACTTGAAAGTATTGTGTTATACTTCAAAAACAAAGTGTTATAGTTTACAGAAGGTCTACCTACCTATAGGCTACCTGAATCTCTGAAATGTACTGTATTCCTAAATATGCTATTGCTACACTTTATGGCAAAAATTTCACTTTTCTGTTGGTCTTTGTTAAGTATAGCCTTGAAAAAAATAAACAATGTTTTGTTGCTTAAGCTTATGTATTCAGTCATTATTCAATGGTATACTAAAATCCATGTGAAAAAAATTGCTTCTCACTGTTCTCAGGTCAAATATTTATATGCGATTAAAAATGCGATTAATTGCGATTAATTAATTACAAAGCCTGTAATTAATTAGATTAATTTTTTTAATCGCGTCCCGGCCCTAATTTCTATTAATCATTTTCGGCCTTTCGGCATTCGGTTTTCGGCCAACTGTTTCCTGTTTTCGGTATCGTTTTCGGCCAAGAATTTCCCATTCGGTGCACCCCTAATTGTTACAGCATTGATTCAGTCCCCGACTTAAATCAAATGGAGAGCCTATTTGCCATTGATATTGGCTGGTAAGCTGAAGAATCACAAGCCAATTAAAAGTGCCAAAATGCACTTATACTGATTGTGTTCTAAGTGTTTTAATCAGGAGTCTCATCCAAATGTCCGAGCCTTTGATTTATGCATTGGTCACAGACAGAAAAATGCCCTTCTAAACTGCAACTGGTTAGGGTTAGGGTTAACTTTGTTAGGGTTAACTTGGTTGTTATGGTAACGTACACACTCTTACATCTGTGGCTGTGGTGTCCTCCTCTCTTTCTTCGTCTCTTTTCCTCAGATTCAACCCTCTGAGGGCGTTGCAGCCCAAACGCCGCCTGCAGCAGTTACTGGCGCCCTCGCCCGCCCCGGTGCCTGCGGCGGCGGCAGGGTCAGGGGGGGCAGCCGCGGGGGCCTCGGCGCCGGTGGCTATCCCTGTGCCTCCTGCGTGAGACTCACCTCAGTTACAGTCTCAGAGAGCATGCCCCCTAGCTGTAGCTGTAGCACTGGCACTGGCATGCTATGTAGCCACTAAAACAAGCCCAAGCCCACTGGCAACACCTCGCTACCAGTCTCACTTAAACATGGTGATACTGAGATCCCAGTCGGAGCTGTCACCTTTCAGAATCATCTTAGAAGTTGACACTAATACCAGCACATATTGTGTTAACCTCCAAGTCTGTTATATCCTGGCCAGGAAAAATGGAAAGCCAGTCACTAGTCTATTGTTCCTCATTCCCCATTAGCACTAGCCTATGCATTGGCTATTGAAGAATTTCTAACACAATTTGGTCAATATTCCATGTCATTTTTCGTAGCATGAAGTTGTGTTTAGAGGCTACATACACGGTGGAAATATCGCCATCATTGTGCTGTGAAAGCACACACTGGTTCACCAAAGCCGCTCAACCAACAGCACCATGTTTGATATGAACACTAGAAAGTCTGACCACAGGAAGTTGGCACCGACATTGCCTTAATCTTGAAGTCCTTGTTTCTAGGAACAAACAACAGTGTAAAGGAATATTCCTCCACCCACCCACAGTAACCAACACCTTTCCTGGGCAACACTCTCCCACACCAGCCTCCACCAGTCTGTCACCCCCCCTCCACAGTCACAGACACAGGTTGCCCCCCAGCAGATGAACAGGACAGACCTGAAACACTGTGGTCCATGAACGCCTCATCGCTTCAGCCGCTTCCCTCTGACTGTTTCTGCTCTGTCTTGGCTTTTGTCATATATTGATCTTCGAAGAAGAATCGAGCAGTCAATATCTGGCCCCCTCCCTTATTGAATCACACAGGACACGCTTACTCTGCACAACCCTTGCTAGAAGCTTGGATTAGCCCCCAAAACAAATTGATTTCCATGTTTTGACAAAGAATTAAGAATTACACTACATTGTGTCATTCTGTCAAGTGTAGCCTGGATTGACCATTTTATCGAAGGTTGTGATACACAACCTCCTTCCTGAAGTGAATTTGAGGACTGCCCATTATTCCAAAACAACAATTGTCTGAAAGATGTTCCATTGGACCGAATACCCAATTGTCCCACAGTGTGTTACCCCAAAACAAATGCCCATTGTTTAAGACCCATTGCTCTTAAAATAGATATTCTGCCTACTACAAACAGAAGCAGATGGCTAATTATTTTACAGAATGACAGATTTGTTTTCCTACCATGGCAAAGGCATGACCCTCCCTACTTTGTCTGTTATTGGCTAGTACATGGTAGGATGAGGCTAAGAACTTTTGGACCAATCGTAGGAAGGATAGGGCAGGTCAAGCCTTTGCAGTCATTCTCAATAATCATTAGTCATGAACTTTGGTTTGTTGTGTATTTTCAGAGCAATGGGCCTTGGGAACACATAATAAATGATAAACATCCCCATGGATGTCAAACAAATGAGCTTTTGGTATTTAGCTTTGGAATATTGGGTTTTGGTAAAATAGTTGATAAATAAAATGCAGCTAAATGCTAGAACAAATGTAAAAGTGTCTCATGTGGAGAGAAGTCCTGAAGACAAATATGTCTTCATGACAGAAACATAGTTCTGTCCTTTTATACAGCAATATCTAGCTAAAAATAAATCAGACCGTACCTACTGGACCACAAGAGGCATTAAGAGCAAAACACATTAACTAATGAATTTTGCAACAGGAAAATGCATTGCTTATAAATATTACCATTGGTAAGAGTACCTAATTTTGTCTTTCAAAAGTTACAATGTCTCAGTTGAAGTTGTAGAATTTAGAGAAAACTTTATTGAGAATCAGAATCAGAATACCTTTATTAGTCCCACAGAGTCCCACAGAGGGAACATTTACTTTGTTACAGCAGAAAAGAGCCAACGACAGCTTAATAAAGTTACCTAAGAAGAATGCATTAAAAAAAGATTAAAGATAAAAAAAAAAAGATAATAAAAAAAGTTACACAATTTAAAAAAAACACATCCTGTCAGGGCAGAGCTCCAGCAGGTTGCAGTTTGAGCACAGAGGCTCTTGTTTGGTGAAACTGTTTCCATGGTTTGGACTTCAGTGTGGTGGCGTGGAGTTATCGGGTCCTGTGTGAAAATCCCTCATGGCTGCTCTGATTGGTCCCGCGTGACCCTTCCTGAGGCCAGTGATTGGGCAACAGTCATTACCTTATATGAATATTTATTTATATTATTATATGAACCTGTTCTTACAACATTCATTATGTGTTATTATTATCACTTATTGTGACATTATTAATTATCATTAACAAATGTCCTGACATCACAGATCCCCTGTCCTTCCTTCTCCTGCTAACACTGATATCACTTTATTTTCTATAGCAGGATGGAATCAGTAGTTAATGGTGGAAAATGTGTGATTATTCATCTGTTTCTCAACATTATATTTTAGACAGTATATGGTTTGACATGATCGACAAACTGATATTTTTAAAGGTGTTTGAAGTGTCAGACATGGATAGAGAGATTGCCATTTTAGGAAAAATGCTTATTTGCATTCCTACCAAGAGTAAAAGAAGATTAATATATAATATAAATAAAAAGAATATAATTGAATAGTATGTTGAAAATATCAGAAAGAACAACTTAGTATAGTATGTCAGAAAAATGGTCATAGCATTATATGTTGGAAATATCACAGAATACAACATAGTGTAGTCTATCGAAAAATTAGGGAAAATAACGAAGAGTAGTTTGTTGAAAAGAATGTCGTAGTTTTGTATGTCCAAAATATCAGATAAAAAGGATATAGTATAGTATGTAAAAGTATTTTATTCATAGTCATAGTATTAAATGTGAAAAATAAGTAATAGTATAGTATGTCGAAAATAGAAAAAAAACTACTTAATTGATAATAAAAGAAAAAAGGTCTTCAAAAGGTATTTTAAAAAATAAAGTATAGTATGTGAAAAATATAAGAAAAAGGACATAGTATATCATGTGGAAATTATAAAATAAAACAACATTGTATGGTATTGCGGAAAAATGTCATAGTATTGTATGTCAAAAATGTCAGACAAAAAGTCATATAATAGTATTATCGGAATTTTCTTTATAAAAAACGACATATAAATATCAGAAATTACTACAAGGTATAGTATGTTGGAAATATTCAAAAACAAGTGATATTATAATATTATAGATTTTTATTTATTTATTAAATACAACATAGTCGGAAAATGACATAATATAGTATGCCGAAAATATAATAAAATATGACAAAATGTCAGAGTATAGTATGTCAACATTTTTTATAAAAAAGGGCATAGTATATACTCGAATATCATTTAAAAAAAACATAGCATAATATCTAAAAAATATCATATAATAATATAGTATGTCAAAAACATAGGAAAATCAACATAAAAAATGTCGTAAAAAGTTGTGGTATAGTATGTTGACAATATCAGAAAGAACAACATAGTTTAGTATAGTTTAAAACATCAAATAAATAACAAAGTATATTATATAAAAAATATCAGAAGAAAACACAGTATACTATGTCGAACATGTTGAAAAAACAAAATGGCTCGGTATGTTGAAAAATGTCGCGCTAAAGTGTCCAAAAAATTACCAGAAATAACAAGAATTCATAGTATAGTTTAAGAAAAATATCAGAAAAAACAATGTAGCATAGTATATCAAGTATATATTTTTTAAAATAGAATACACCAGTAGAGTTTATCAAAATTATCAGAACAAAATCAATGTAGTATATTATTTCAGAATATGAAAAAAAAACTACAAGTATGTTGAATTTATCATATCAGTTATTTTGTTGTATATTTTGCTATTTGACCGTGACAGTAAGTTTAGTAGTGAAGTGTCCTATAAATTAGTCAAGGAATAGGCCTACGTATAATGATCTTGAATAAGTGCTAATGCTGTTGTTGCTGCTCATGGAGGATTCAGAGTGTTAGCTTGTGTTCTATTAGATTAATAGCATCATTGCATCAAATACATATTTTATATGGAAAGTCAAAGAGAGTGGCCCCCATGAATAAAGCACTACTATCTGTCTTTCCGTTTGCAATGCTTTTAGAGTGGCCCCTCTCTTGGGCCCCGTCAATGTTTGAGTGCTTGTTGACATTTAGCATCTGCATTAGCCAAATGCTATATGACAGACAGCTTTGTCTCACCTCCATAGTGTGCACACATTGGAAGCATGCACATTGTGTCAGTGTGGTTTGGTCCTCTGCTATCCTGCTGTGATTTAACACCCTGTTGTCTCTGCCTGGCCAGGTTTGACTACTGCAGGTTCATAGAGCTAGACTACGTTCCTATGGAGACAGACTATATGGTCTCAATGCGCCAGACAAAAAGCCTTGCATCGTCCAACTCACCGACTAACAAGTCTCCTGATTGCCACAGCCGTGCAACAAACTCTCCCTCAACCCCCCGCTCTCGGTCTGTTCTGAGTCCCCTTCTTTCTTCACTGTCAGTGTTCACTTTCTGAAGCATGGGAATGTTGAGAAGCTGCACAGCTCATGATATTACAACATGGAAACCATTTGACAATCGTTTACACAGCATCATGTCTCGTGTGCCATGTTACTCCCTCCTTCTTTTATTTTTTTATTTTGTCTTCTCATACCTTGTTTACATTAAGTAAAATCACTTCATTTATTTTGATGAATGCTTCTTCTTCTCTGTTATATTATTGAGTGTCTTTTTTCGTTAGTGCCAAAATGACTGAGTGTCCTGGTTTCTAAACTGTTCTCTGTTAGCTGTGATTTTGGCCTTTGTATTATGTCTGCATATTTGTGCATTTCCGTGTTGTATTGGCATGCAATTGGAATATTTGTGTCTTTTAATTTGTGGTTTTGCTCAACAGCTCACAGGAGTCACTGTCACCTAGTTGTTTAGGGTGTGGTTTCATGGTGAACTTGGAACAGCTTAACATGTTTTCTTTTACTTTTGAACAGGCGGACACCGGCAGCGCCTAGCAATAGAGATCCCTATGGCAACACCCCCCTCAGCAGCAGCAGCAACTCAGGCTCTTGTAAAGGCAGTGAGTGCAGCCCCACCAAAGGGTAAGACAATGTGCATGGTCGGCATGGTTGGTTTTGTTAGCCTGATAATCAGGCTTTAGAGCTTTACATTTCCCCCTTAACATCTAAATAGCAAGAAATAACACATTTCTAGATATTTTCTTTCCTGGTTAGGCACACAGTGTAGCTGGTGAAACAAGTTTGGGTTAGACTATTTTATTCACCTGGATATCACAGATCACACACAGATATGCACTTTGTTTAGTGTTTGTAGGCTTTAAATAAAGGATTTTTATCAAGTATCTGCTTCTTTGATTCAAAAAGACAAAAATTCCATGTCCATGTACCATATACATTACACAAAATACATCTACAAATACAAACACGAAATACAGGTGGGTTATCAGATACGAACTAACAAGTTCTCTTTCAAACATTTTGTATTTACAATGGTAGTCGATAACAAAGTCTTGCTCCTTAAACAGAAAAAATTGATTGTCCAAATGAAGGTTTGCATAATGCAATGTGAGTGAGGTAATTATACTGGTGTTTTATATGAATGCTAATGTGGCCGTTTGTTTGATTCAGATGTAAACAAGGAACAAGCCACTGTTGGGATGATATCTTTATTTATTTTATTTTGTATTTTAGTATTTTATTATATATGTTGCATTGTTGGAGGAGCTCAGGTCAGAATAATTGCATTGCCATTTTGACACTGTAGCTTATGTGCATATGACAATAAAACCTTTGAATTTGAATAAAACAATGCAATTAGGATTATATATCATTAAAATATTAAGCATATGTAAGGCTGCTGCCCCCCAGGTGACAGCCATAAAAAAATGTATGCAAGTTTAAAAGTAGGCCACGTCCAATTCATGTTTGTAATTTTTAGTTTCATTTATCAATAATCCAGAAATTCTCAAATAAACAATTAAATATCATTTGTTAATAAAATAAAATAAAAATAAAAATGTGTAGGATTTTGGTAGCTACTTTAAAATAGTTGATATATACATATTATGCAATACCCAATCCTTCCTACAAGACCATCATGCAGTGTCTTGATGGGTACATCTTGTGAATAAAGATGTCACTGAAGTCAACCTAGAAAAATACCTTCCATATGCTTGTGTCCTAGTCGTCACCAGAAATACACGTCATGTACGGACAACCATGGCATCCGGCCCCCTCCACCAGAGCAGTACCTCACACCGCTGCAGCAGAAAGAGGTGTGTATCAGACACCTGCGGGCCAGGCTAAAGGAGACCATCAACACTCTTCAAGACAGGTGAGATACTGA